CATAAGTCATCATCATCATCATTATTATTATTTCCATTTATATTTCCCCTTTATATTTCAGCAATTAAAGAATCATCAAAGCCATTATCGTCTGCTATAACTAATCTTAGTATCGCAGGCTGTTCTCTGAGCGATGCTCTCATAGTGTCTCTTGCTGAAGAGACTGCAGGGCTGCTATCCAAGTTTGCTGTGGTAAATCTGTCTGGGAATAATGATATTACAGGAGAGAGTTTACACTCACTATGCACCATGATAACAGCAGGTAATTGTCGATGGTGATGATGATGGTGCAAAAAAGATAATGGTGATGTATGAAGATGATGATGATGCATGATGATGATGATGATGATGATGGCGATAATGATGATGTTGATAGGGATAGTGAATAAGGTAGCGATAATGGTGGTGCATGATGATGATAATAGTGATGATGATAGATAGATAGTGATGATGATGATAATGGTGTGGTGATGCATGATGGTGATGGTGATGATGATTGTGTTGATGATGGTGATGATGATGATGATCACCACCATGATGTTGCGTCATAATATTTTTCACYAGCTATCATTCCATTGCTTTTCAGGTGACGGGCAACGATCAAACGTTCTAGAATCTCTTGATTTCGCCCTCAACAACGCAGAAACACTTCCTGATATCTTGATCACAGCTAAGCTCTTTAAACTAAAAAACTTGAACTTGAGAAAAGCAAAAATATCACCGGGAAAAATAATGGAACTACGTCAACRTATTGCCAAAAAATCACAAGAGGATGACGTCATGATTACGTCACTTAATCTTGACTCAATCAAACTCTCAGGGACAGACACCTTGCAAAGCATGCTGGGATTGTCCGAGGACTTTGWACCCATGATACCTTGTGCGCTTACCTCGCTGTCGTTGAGCGGTTGTAGCTTGAATGACAAAGACATTAAGCCTTTGTTTGTGGGGATTGCGAAAGGACTGGGTCTAGTTAATGTTAACTTGTCAAGCAATAGATTGACAGACGCGAGTGTTGATKGGTTGGTTGATRAAATGGAGGAGCCTTGTGCGCTATGCCATCTGGACCTATCCAATAATAAGGTAATCAAGTTATGATTGATCCTCTTACCCCGTTCAATGGGCCCTTTGCAGCTCAGTAATCACGTGCTGATTAATTCACTGAGAGCAAATGAATGAACATCTTGATTCCCATGGGTGAAATTTACTGGTGAGCAAACAAACTTTCTACAACCTGTTTCGAGAGATCGTAATAAAACTGCATTTCGTAGCACACTGGTTACACATCGTTTCATTCAGTTTCTTTACATGTAGCTAAAAAGAATCACCAATTTGAAATAAAATAAAATAAAAAATTTTGCAGTCCAGTACAGACACGTGACCGTTTACTGCAAAGGGCCTATTTCATCTTTTTGCCCTATAACATGCATATGGTTGCTGTAAAACAACTCTTAAAGCTATTGCATAAACCAGTAATGTTCAAAACAAACTTCCTAGATTCGTGCCAACGGWGCAGAGAAGTTAGCGTCTGCCATTGAAAAAGGTCGACTGGCGCACCTAGCAACGCTGTYGCTTAGCAACAACAATATAGGATCTTCTGGCATCCTGGCATTGGTAACACAAGTTACTCCCAACGGTACCCTACACAGTTTGAATTTGAAGGACCAAAAGCAACCCGTGAGGGAGGAGGACATGGATGAGATTTTTAAATCCCTGGCTCTGGCATGTGGTAAGTTTTGTGGAAATAGAAATACAGGTTGGTCGCTTAATAGAGGTATAAACTACTTCAAAAGCCCTCTTTGGCAGGGCCACACGTTTATGCRAATTGCGAAAAACTTCATTGACAACTGTGTCGGGCTCCCTGTGGATGGCCGCCGGAAAACTTTTTCAAAAGCAAAATTCAAGCTTTCTGATTGGTTGATATYGATGAAATACTTAAATGCTACCTTATTTCGTTGTGACAGATATTCCACTCGATAACAACTCCACAAGCACATCTACAACCTACCTTCAATTCTCGCCACAGACCTCTATCAACTTAACGGGGCTGGGAGGAGAGCCTGGTGACTACGGTCCATTATTAGACAGCATCGCTATACAAACCGACTACACGAAGAAGCACAAACGAACACTAAGTTTACAAGATGCTCTTGACTTGTCTKCAGTTTTTGTCGGCCATGGTGAGCCGARATTGAGTAAGGAGGACTGGGACCTAGTAATAAGCGCGGATAAGGACGCACCAGCTTGGCTCCAGGTTAGAAAATATTTGTTTGGACGACTTATATGTACTGCTAACAAAGGTCCATTTGAACAAATCTGGATGATACTGAATGCGCACGCATACAACCACAAACCATCCTCTGGTATTAAATTGAGTCGACGACATGCGTGCGCATGATTTRATAATTTTTTACTGGTCAGAAATGAACCCACTTACTCTTTTTGCATATCACAAGAGTGATCGCCGCATGCTCTGCCGAATCCGTGCGAAGGTAAAGCAAATAGTCCGCTCAGTGAAAAGAGACTAGACTGGAAGGGACCTCTAGACCGTTGGGCAGGGCAAACTGCTTAAAAAGGTTCGGAAAAAGAGGGTTTTGAGTTGTTTGCACTAAATCAAATTGGTTAAGACGTGGTCAATAAGGGAAAGAGGTCGTAGAGACAGGTTCGGAAATTATGTCAGACTGGTTGTAAGACGTGTTCAATAAGAGAAAGAGGTCCTAGAGACAGGTTTGGGAAAATCAGATTGGTTGTAAGACTAGGTCCATAAGGGAAGGAGGTCGTAAAGACAGGTTCGGATCAATCAGATTGTTTGTAAGTCGTGGTCGATAAGGGAAAGAGGTCGTAGAAACAGGTTCGGAAAAATCAGATTGGCTGTAAGACGTGGTCGATAAAGGAAGGAGGTCGTAGAAACAGGTTCGGAAAAATCAGATTGGTTGTAAGACGTGGTCGATAAAGGAAGGAGGTTGTACAGACAGGTCATATTTTTTTCAGGTATCGTTGCATCGTAACCGAGCAGTTTACATTACTAATCTACCGCTGACCGCAACTAGAGAAAAGCTCGAGAGCCTTCTAGAAGACGAGGCAGACTGTAACGTCAAAGAAGTTTTCCTTTCCAAGGTTTGTGTTAGATATTCCACTGCCTTGCCACAAAAAGGYYATTTTCGAGTTCCAAGTTACCGCTGTCTTTTTTGATTACAGACTCATTTACTCAGAGTTAACCTCGAATCAGTAAATATACAAAAATTCCAACGGTGAAGTAAAGGATGCACAAC